CCCTATATCGTTTAACTTCAACCCAACCGGAGCTGCTACCTTGACGTGGTGGTTGGGCTTGCCTATCATGATGAGCCGACCGAACTGTATTGGCTGGAACATATGTTCCTGAAGGTTCTACCATGCCAGACAGGTCGACTGAAGAACGATGAGACTAAAAGCAGCAACTCAAGGTCTGAGGGCGAAGTCGTACTACTGACTGTAGTGAGGTGTGACAGCAGTAAGATGTTTCCCTCAAACAACCAGCATCTGCAGCGATGCTGCCTTCTCCAAAGGCTGAAGGGGTTAGCAAAGGTCGACCCTGAAAATGTCACACCTTCAGCTTACCTCACGGATTTCCGTCTCTGGCGGCAAGGGCTGCCCACTAAGAGCTTTTAAGAGCGGAGCTAATACTCAAAAAACCTCTCATAAAAAGGCAGTGAATGACCGGCCTCAAGCAGCTGTCCCTTGGGCTCTGCGGTCACGCTCCCAGGTCTCCAAGACCAACACTAATCTATCTTCCTTTTCAGGTTCGTGAAGAAACATCCTTCTACGGTGTGGGCAGCCGGGAAATGACAACCGCCCTCATACCCGTAACAGCACACGAGAACAAATTTGTTTAATTTCAGAGCCTTCATTACAGACATAGGGATTGGAAATGTTCACAAATGGAAAAAAAAACTGTATAATCAAATCATTAAGCTCACAGAACAAAATACCACCAGAATCACTCTAAGCTACACTTATAATATAAACTGTACGAAGAAAAACCCTGAATACAATACCAATAAACTATTTGAAACAAAATTACAGTGTTTTCGATTCATGATGACAATCACAGTCAATTATATTTTTATCTAACCTTGACATTTGACTATCAATATTCCATAATGGTTACAAGATTTCTTTAGTACTTACTATATAAAGACATACTCATAAATTAGCCTCATATGATAATGAAATATTCCCAACTGGTTATCACAATTAAAAGTGTATAACAAACGATTGAAATAAAATTTTCATCAAAACCAAATAAAAAATTGATAATGCTCATTATATCATGATTGTTAAATAATTTAACTATGAATAATAATGGACTTACAATTTTTCCGTATACAATGGAATATTTGATGGAATAAATTCCAATTGAGCATTTTTACACTCAACCTCAGTAAGATGACATTTACATTCATTTGGACATGTAAAATTAGCATAATTAAAAGCTTTTTTTGAAAATCTTGGTCTCATTTTATTATAAAGTAAATCATTCCTATTGAATTTATTATTATTATCGTTATCGTATAAGTATTTTTGTGAATTCTGACGATTGAATGAAATTTTCTGTCCAACACTTTCTCTTCGAAATTTAGGTTTACTTTGATCAGTTAACAGTGGATGTGCATTAGTGCCTTGTTTAACTACCCTTTCATTGTTATTCATTTGAGGAAAACGTAGTAAATCAATATGTTTTGGTAATGCAGCCCAAATTCTACGTTTAGATTTATAAGGATTCAGCAACTCATTGTTGTTATTATTACTAATGGTGATATTTGGATAATAATAATTTAGTGTATTTGAGGCAACATTATCTTCAGGGAGTTGATTTGATAAAATTAATCCAGTAGTATGAAAATGAATTGAAAATATTTGTTGATCAATAAACACTACCGAAATTAACAAAATAATAAGTGACATATCAATAGGAATATTCCATATGAAGAACCGCATTTCATGTATTTAGTTGTGCGAAGTTTATTTCTAAAAAAGACAAAACTAAACGTTTCCGTTGTTTTTTCACACTGTATTCAAATTTTTTCTATTACTTGAGGTGATAATTAGAATTAGTAACAGGAATAAAAGTTAACCTATTTCCACAATCATGATGTTGATGTACATTACACCGCGAACTGAAGCCATTAATGTCCAATTGGAAAATAAAATGATAAATAAATTAGGAAATTATACCTCACTGCTGATTGGTTAAATAAGAATTTACAGTGTCTGTTGTATTAGCCAATCAGAAAAAAGCTAATTCATTTTATGTGAGCTTTTTGTTTACACATTTATTAAAGCTATGATCGGATAATGTGCCAATAGTTAACATTAGTTGGTAGAAATTATCTGACCAGAGTTTTAGTTGTTCAAAGTTATGTAGATTTAATAATTCAGCTGCATTAAAAACTAACATTTCAAATAACGAATAATTTGAAAAGAATATTGAATTATTTCCCGACACCCCTTGTTGGTAGAACTTTTTAGAAGGATTATAGTTTGCAACTCCTTATCTATACGTAAAATGATCAGTTACTGTATCGTTGTTAAGACATTAGCAACCAAACAGTAACTATCAGTCTAGAAAGCCTTAAACTTGTCAAAAATTAAGAATAACTGTAGGTCGGAAATTCTGGACATGTTTCTATTGTACCTTGATAAGAAAAGGCTTAAACCAAATGTGTAAATTAAATTATATTATTTTCATAGTTCCAACTCAATAGCCAGACGAGCAACACTAGTATTGTATAGTGTACTATTCTATCTTTTAGTTGTTCATGTCCGTCAGAAACATATAGTTCCACCTCTCATAATGTCAGCTTACATTTACATTATTGTTATGCTTGTCACTTGATATGCCTGAAGCGATTACGAGTTCACTTAAGTCGATAAACAAGAACGAGACAATGAACCAGTGACACGATAGGCTACTGTAATCCTTTGCCCCGACTAATTGAAGAAAAAGTCTTGAAATGGCGTAGAAAGTGTATTTTAAAAACACCCGGAAAATACAATAATCTCAAGCATACAAATAGTGTTTATTTATATATCCCAGAGACGTCCTTGAGAGTCACAAAAAGTAGCGCACTAAAATAACACATCAACCAATCACAGCCAAGGATTTTCCTGGTGCGAAAGGCACAAGGTCAACTGGTCAGCCCATGAATAAAATCCAAAATGAAGGGCTTTATCAAGCGAGTTCTGGGGATCTAACGTATATATATATATATATATATATATATATATATATATATATATATATATATAGTTCATTAACTCCTACTGTTTACCCATTAGTGTTACTACATTTGACGGTATAATCACTTTATTCTAATTAAAAACATATTTCTTTGAAAATCTCGACTAAGTCATTAGTAAAAATATGATGGAAAAAATTCTTCACATTTTCGATATGACTTACTTAGTAAAACAGGATTTTGACTGACCTAATTTCAATCTTAGTTGTCATATTTGTTAAATAATCCCTGGTGTTTTTTTACATGAACTGCTTAGAAAAATCTCAACGCAACTGTTATCATTTTTCAGTAGTTAGAAAAGTATTAAAATTTAGATTTCAGATTCAACTAAATTGAATGATATAAGTAGAAAATTAACAATCAGGTTTGCGCCAAAACAAACGAGAAATTTTAAGTAGATGATGATTTCAGTGTGTTAAAACACTAATCTTCATAACTCTAATTGAAAACATCGTAAAATGTGCTCATTAGTGACTAGCTTCGTGAGGAAATTCTCGGAGTTCTAGTGAGAAAACGTGACCGGTTGAGTTCAACCTAGTCGGATGTAGACAGTAACTATCAAAGACAAATAGGTGAGGTCACGCAAAACCCCTAGATCAATCAGAGCTAGACATTAACAGCGTTGGATGCCGGTCCAGTGGTTAGGCGTTGACGCACAATACCGAGGGTCCCGGGTTCGAGGCTTGCGAGTTGCAAGATTCTTGGATACGCACTGCTGATGAGTCCCATACCAAGATGAAACGGTCGTCCAGTACTTCCAGGTTTCTAATGGTGGTCTAACAATGATTGACTGATGATTTCAAATGTGTAAAAACACTAATCTCCATAACTCTAATTGAAAATTCTACGTAAACAAAATGTTTGATAAACAGAAAGGAAATGCGATAACGTAAAAGTGTGGTCTCTTTGAAATGGTTCAATGAATCGTTGAACAATGATGCTATGGATTTTGTATTTAAATTCACTTTATGAATATTACAAAATATGAATATTAAAAATTACACTGATAAGTTTTTTTGCTTAGAATTAACTTTCGAGAAAGTTGTAACCTAATTAAATCATTACAAATGTTTTAATTAATCGTCACTTCTTGCCTTGTAAATGTTCCATTTATATTCAACTTAAGTAAAAACAAAATGTTTGAATGAGTAATCAACTAGTTAAACTTTTATTGAAATTATTTAGTCCCAATATGAATCAGGTATGTGTAATTATTAAAACAACTAATGACTATTTATGCCGTTCGAAATGAATCTTTCCCAAAAACTAAGTTTGAAATGTTTTTTTCAATTTGTATTTGAGAAATTATTGTACACTCAAAGAGTTTGAAACATACAATATGAAATGATGACACTTTGTCTCAGAATTTTTATTACTTTCGATCCAATAAGCTATTACGGGTTCACCTTAGTCCATAAACGAGAACGAGACAACGGAACAGCGTTCAGGTAGGCCCAAAACGGCAAAAGAGAAGTCTTGATAAGCTTAGAAAGTATATTCTACTACACCCAGCAAGCACAATGCAATAAAGTACACAAATCGCGTTTATTTATCCATCATAGAAACGTCCTTGGGACAGTCACAAAAACAGAACACTAAAATACACAGCAGTCAATCACAGCCATGGATTTTCTTGATTCGAAATGAAATCTCAACGTCAACTGATCAGTCCATGCTCACAAACATGAAATCCAAAATTAAGGCATTTATCAATCGAATTCCGGAGATCTAACATCCTCAACATCAAGTTTACGAAAAGACCTCATAGGATAGTAATTGTATAAACCTTACTCAAACTAGAAAAGATTTCCAAAACTCTTTAAAACACTGATGTATTATTTCCAGTTCACTGAAAACTGACTAGCAGATCAAAATGAATTGTTCACTATCAAACAAGTTCCTGATACATATATTACTGAGAACATTTTGACTTATTCAGAAAGCGTGTCTTTGTCCTGATATACGATTTATTACAACTCATTGTCAAAAGCAAAGAAGCACTGATTCAAAAAACAGATGTGAAAGGTATCTAAGACGAGTTCAAAGAACAAGTACTACATCATTCCTGTTTGACTGAAAAAGAATGAATTAGACACATTGTTAAGGAAGGGGTTTCTCAATGTTTAGTGAGGAAAATTTTCTTTGGTAATATGAACGCGCGTGATATGTTAATCAATATATGAACTCATTAGTTTAATGTGGCCAAGTGATGGCTACTCGTAAGACCTAATTATTGATTAGAAATCAAAGACAAGATTATCAACTACATGCATGGATTTTTCACTTGATAAAGTAATTGTGATGTCTTTGAAATATCTGACACTAAAAGACACGAATAAAAATATACTGTGCATGACCACAATGCACTAGGATTTAGAAAACTGCAATTATGCCCAAACTAATAGTTGAGGGAAGAAAAATAGAGGATAGGGGTTACGTCCAAGTTACAACAATTGCGAAATAAATCAGAGTATGACAGTTAATCGTACATCAACCAAAAGCTCAGTATTAACAGAATCAGATAGTAACCAATATAAATATTAGTATTTGGCAGTCTTGTAATTGGGTACAATATGGTTTTCAAAATAAGCTTCTTTTGTTTGTCACTGTCTCTTTGTTTCTCACTCCACAACAGTAACATGCTTATGTGTGATATATGGACACAGAACGAACTTGGTAGAATTGTCTCGGTGACTAGGTTAAATCAGCACTTAGAACACACATTTACTAGTCAGTTAAAGACCTTACTGTTAGGTTTAATCACTGAGCATCGTATCATGAATGTGACCTATGTCTATTTGTATCATTCATTAAACACTTACCATGTTTGATCAAAATCTACTTGTAGTACTGTCCTACTAATCACTGTTTTGAAGTATGACTAAAAACATTGCCAACATGTATACTGAGATTCAGAGTAAAGTTTCGCAAGCAACATATTTATGTTTCAGATTTAAAGTTTACTCTCAGTTTTCAACGTTTATGTGAGCCTAATGCATAGTCAGTCTAGTTGAATCGAATAAAATATCTTCAAAAGCTAAACATGTAGCTGAATATCATAAACATGATTTCTCATCGTTAAACTTTTCAAATGTAAATCTGTTTTGAAAATAAATTTTTGTTGTTTGTTGTTTACGCCTGTTACCCCCAATAAAGCATAGGCCGCCCACCAGTTTTATCCAACCTATTCTGTCATGGGCTTCCCTTTCTAGTTCTTTCCAGTTTTTGTTCATTCTTCTCATGTCTTTCTCTATTTCTCGGCGTAATGTGTTCCTTGGCCTTCCTCTTTTCTTTTTACATTGAGGGTTCCATGTGAGGGCTTTTCTTGTGAAGCTGTTCGGAGCTTTTCACAGTGTGTATCCTATCCACTTCCACCGCTTCTTCCTGATTTTCTCATCCACTAGAAGCTGGTTTGTTCTCTCCTAAAGTAAGCTGTTGCTGATAGTGTCTGGCCAACGAAGGCGAACTATTTTATGTAGACAAGTGTTCATAAATACTTGTATCTTCTGGATGATGACTTTGGTAGTTCTCCACGTTTCCGCTCCATACAGTAGATCTGTCTTGACATTTGTATTGAAAATCCTGATTTTGGTTTTGGTTGAAAGTTGTTTGGATTTGCAGATATTTTTCAAATGTAGAAACGCAGCCCTTGCTTTGCCGATCCGCGCCCTCACATCTGCATCGGATCCACCTTGGTTG